CATAATCAATGAAACACAGACATTCTTGAGATTTGAATTTCTATATAGCACCTTTATATTTTAGGTATACATTGGCTTTAATGCTGCTCCCAAATCTACAGTTATCCCCAAGGTTCAGTATCTGCATCCTGCTGACCTGGCTTCAGCCACAAAGCACAGCTGGGGATCAGACAGCACCCCTGGAAGAAAAGCCACAAAGTGCTAAGATCTAGGTTTTCTTCTCTAATCAATTGCTATGGTTCACTGGCAGCAGCTAATGAAATAAGGAAATAATTCAGGGACATTAAAGGGTATTTAGGGGATAGTTTACTTTCAAAAGATATTAAAAGGCATAATAATTATCCCAAACAAGACATAAACAGAAATTACCAAAACAATCTCCAGAGGGTACCCGGTACAAGTTACCAGATCCTCTGACATCCCCCCACCCCACCCCCCACAGGTTGGCTCCACAATTACTTTTATTCTCCTAGTTCTAAAATAAACCCAGGGACTGTGTTGTGTCACATTCCTGAAGAGGAAGGGTCCTGGAGTTTTAAGGTGGTCCAGGACTAGCAAACATCCCAGGCTGCAGGTGCCGAGATCCTTTACATTTACTAGAGCTGATTTATCAAGGAGAGGCGCTCTCCGTCTAAAACCTTTAATTCTTTATCAATCCAACTCCATCATGAATGCATTCATAAACTGGTATTGGTTGGTTGGCTTTTAAAAACGATTCCTATTCTTTTCAAAGACAGCTCTTGAAGACCACCACGTCAAGGAGAGGAAAGGGATGAACATTTTTTTACATTACTCTCTACTGACCCCTCTTGGACGGCCTGAGAAAAGATGAGCTGAGAGCTTGGGGGAAGGCACCTCTGCCTGCAAGGAGAGTTCAGAGAACATTAGGTCTTTTCCTACCCTGGAAAGAAATCCTCTCGGTTCAGATGACTCCAAAGAGAACTCAACTCTAAAGCACACGATGCAATAATTTCTATTTATGGGGCTCCCAGAATGGAAGTTGGGAAACAGCCTCATGGATCTGGCCCAAAGGCTTTGCTGCGTCCCGCAGAGCCCTCTGACCCTCTGCCTCCAAGCTGGAAAAGCTTATGTAAGTGATAAGTGCTATCACCATTTCTGAAAGCAAGAAGAGACCTTACCTCCTTCTCTATTTTCAGGAGCTTCTTTACTGCCACCTCCTTGTCCTGTGATATCCATTTGGCTCGATAGACACTCCCAAAACTCCCTCCACCGCAGTTTTCAAAAAACTGCAAGTCATCAAATTTAATTTGCACAAAGGAAGCACCGAGAGACGACATCGCATAATGACAAAGTATTATACTTCCACAAAATCTGTAGAGAGAAAGAAAAAGGAAAGATGAATTACCAATATCGGAATGAACCTGATAAAACCCTACTTTCAATAATGTATAGAATGAGTCCTCCTCGGAAACTTCCAGAAAGAACTTTGCTGACTTAAGAAGCAGAAAAGCAAAATTACAAACAAACCAAAATTAAAACACTCACCCTGGCAGCCCATGCAAAATTTAACAGCAACTTGCCCAGGCTTTGAAGCACAGCTGTCCACAGAGAAATGGCTCAGATTTCTCCCTGACAAAACCTGTAGTGGCACTTCCCGTACATCCCAGGGAGCTCTGCGTAAAGGCTACTGTGTCACCAGGTCTCCTATCATGAAGCCCTGACAAACGGGAAGCATGCTTTCAACAGTGAGCTTGCATAGCTCTTCTGGCATCTGAAGCATGCCATCTCTCCAGGTTGTGCTCAGTTCACACAAAATATACATATCCCAAGCAACCCAACAGCCGGGCACAGGGCAGCCAGAATGCTGCAGACTGAACAGACACACAATCAGTGTTTATGTTCCAAAAGCAAACTTTCAGCTTCAGGATGACAGAGAAATTGGCCAAGGGTTTTCCCCAAGTGACGCCCTGGGCTGCACACTGCAGCAGAACTTAATTAAAGAGCAGAAAATTTGCCCTTGATTACACTGTATTAAATCATCCCAAGATCACTGCCAAGAATGTTTTTTAAAAATATTATGCTTGTTTCCAGAGGAACAGGATTACCTCTCCCAGAGATTACTGCAGTGATTATATATTCTGTGGAATAAGGAGTTTTACTATTCTCCAGGTAAACAGTCATTCCTCCAACATACTCTGCTAAACCACAGGTTACCGCATGTGGGGGGGGGGGGCGGCGGCACTAAACAAACAGGCAAATAAATAAGAAAAGCAATGGACTAATGTTTTGCACCTACATAAAAATCTAAAACCTGGTAAATCCAAAAGTCTGCACGTTTATGCTTGCCAAAACAGTAAACTCAAATTTTACAGTGAAGGATTAAAAAAAAAGAAAACCCATAATGGAGAAGAATTGGTTTTCCAAATTTGCTGCTGTTACATAAGGTTTTCTTTAAGTCAGGAAATCACTAATATACAAGGGACTTTAATGACTTGGTACAATGTGTGATCCTTGACTGGATTCTGGGTTAAGGGAGAAAAAAAATTGTAGACAGTATTATTGAAATTTTAAGGAAACAGAACTCTATGTTGTTGCTGTTGTTTTTTTTCCATAGTAAATAATGGTGTTTTGGTTAGGGAGGAAAATGTCCTTGTTCTTGGAAGGTTAAGTGTCGGACTATTACGAGATGATACAACTTAAACCCAAACCTAACACCTTCACATAGATTCTGACTCAGGGAAAACCCTCCAACATTTCCGATACAGTAAATCTTTACATGAGACCAGCTCTCCTGTGGTGCAGCTGGTGGACACGAAATCACTGACTTTTGGAAAGCACTGTAACACTTTACGCAACCAGAGCTCTTTGTCTGTAGTTTACTACTTTAAAATGGGTCGGTACTCGTCCAAAGTAAATGTGCTCATGTAGAGAGAGAAAGCAAGCAAATGTGACAAACTTAACAACTGGATCTAGGCAAAAAGAATATGTGCATTTTATTATTCTTTCTATTTTCCTCCTGTCAGGGAGCAAAGGCAGTTACTATTTATATAAATGAACAAAAATCTTTCCATAAACAACTCCAAGCTTTGCTGAGTGATGTATACAGTTGGCTCAGAGATCTTAATGTGCAGATGACTAGCAAACCCATTTTAGGAACATCAGGTCACTGAGGAATGCTGATTTCTTAGGTGCAGTTGAACTCTGCTCGACTTTGGGCTAAAGGTAAAAGAGAGAAAAGTGTTGTTTGTTTATTCTCCAAAGGTTAGGTAATGTATTTTAGGAGTTTAAACACAAGATACACAGTGATCCTACAGGATTTCCCCACAGGGTTTCCTGGACTTTGTAAGTCTTTATGGGAGCAAACTGTCAGGTCTCTTCTCTGGCAGAGCTATTGGTGAGTTTAATATACCCAACTTTCTGTTGGCAGCTGTCATGTACTAAACTGTATTCCTTCAAAATAAATGTTGACTTGGCGGGGTCATCATTCTCAGTGGTTTGGCAGGTAACGAAGTAATCACCCTCCATGATGTGACCAGCCAGTCAGTTGGAAGAGGGTTAGTAGGAGATGGTGTTAGTCTTCCTCTGGTCACAGTCTGATACAATAATGTAAGGGGCATATTTTTGGCAGAAGGAGGACAAAGCATCAAGATCCATGTGTCTAAAACAACAGTTTACTTTTTTCTTAAGTCATTGTCTGTTAAACATGTAAAAGAAGAAGACAATGAACATAACTCTAGACTGAACCAAAATGAGTATCCAGAGGATGACAGCTACTTTGTCACACAAAATACAGAGCCCCAAGTGTAAATTCCCTCTGTGTCACAGATTATATATCTACTTTTAAATTCATTTTATTTTTATCAAGTAGAACTAAAAAGTTTATATTAAAAACTAGGAGCTCTCTTCCCCAGTCACTCACGTCAAATTCCCTATCTGAAAAAAACAACTAATCTCAACTCTTTAGTAGATTTTTTTTAAATGATCTGCTTACTTGATCCTTGATTTTTTTGTTATTATCTTCTCCTTATGGAAGCTAAAGATTTATTTCTCATAATCACCATAGTCTCCAACTATGTTATATAACATTTGGTTAAATAAACATTCAGAGTTTGCAGAAGTCTAGCTAAGTAAATGTTATTCCCATTATTTGCATATAGGATTCAGTAACTCTATTTCTTTCCTTAGATAATGTATTATTTCTCTTCTTGGAGTTGATAATTATTAATTACTCTGGGGGGTGTTTCTTACTGTTTGCTCAAATTTTTTAAACATTTATCACAAGGAACATCATTACTGATGTCAGATGGACCGGAGTGTCACTAAGAAAGAAGAACCAGGAGAATATATAAAAGATGTTTACCTGTGTTTCATTGATTCACCTATCAACTGATAACAAATGATGGGGAATCCTGTAAATGAGGAAAATTCCAGAACACTTCATTGTGCTCAAGTGGAACCTGTAAATAGACTAAGAACCAGTAATGTGACAAGAACAATAAGAATACTGCATAGAGTTCAAAAGCAGAAAAGGTATAAAGCATAAAGTCTGTATCCTTTCACCAGACCTAATCAATCTATATGCTAGGCAAATAACTCCAGAAGATGGACTATGTGACGATTATCCAAAAATTACTAGAACAGTACATCCACAGGGAGCTTCCAGAAATACAAGCTGGATTTCGAAGACCATGGCACTGATGATGTCAGACGGACATGCCTGAAAGTAGAGAGTACCAGAAAGATGTCTATTGTGTTTCAGCGACTATGCAAAGGTATTTGACTGTGTGGACCACAACATATTATAGCTAACAATGAGAAGAATGGGAATCCTGGAACACTTGACTGCACTCATGTGAAATCTATACCTAGACCAGGAAGCAGTTGTTCAAACAGAGCAAGGAAACACTGCATGGTTCAAAATCAAGAAAGGAGTATATCAGGGATGTATCCTTTCTCCATATATTTTCAATCTATATGGCAAGCAGATCATTTAAGAGGTTGGACTTCTGAAGAAGGATGTGGTATCAAGATTGGAGGAAGATTCATCAACAACCTATGTTATTTAGATAATACAACCTTGCTTGCTCAAGCCGAGGAGGACTTGAAACATTTGCTACAGAAGGTCAAGGGCTGCAGCTTTCAATATGCCTTTCAAAATCAAGAAAGAAAATAAAAAAGAAAGAAAACAAAAGCCTTACCATTGGGCCAATAGGTAGAATCATGATGTTCTATTATGTGTTGTCAAGTTGCTTGCAACTCATAATGCCACTATATACAACAGCCCTGAACCCTTGCTTTATCTTAAGCCAACTTCACTGTATCTGATACATCTACCCTCACTACCACAGTCAATCCATCTCATCCACAATCTTCCTCTCTTGTGCTGTCCCTCTACCCTTCCAAGCATGATGTAACTCTCCAAGGACTGGTCCCTCCTTGCAACATGTCCAAAGTATGTCAGAGAGAGCTTTAAAAACCCTGCCTCCAAGATGCTACCTGGTTTCACTCTCTCCAGGACAAATCTGTTCTGCAAACAGTCCATGGTATACTCAATACTATTCTCCAGCATGATAAATTAAAAGGCATCAATTATTCCTCTATCATCCTTAGTCATTCTCCAGCATCTGATGCATAGCAAGTAATTGCGAAGACCATGGCCTATTTCAGGCACATTTTAGCCTCCAGACTGACATCATTGCTCTCATTGCTCTTTAGTACTTTGGAGAGGTCTCTGACAGCACATTTTCCCAATGCAATTTGTCTTTTGATTTCCTGGCTGCTGGTACCAAGAGTGTTGATTGTGGAGCCAAGCAAACTGAAGCTGTTAACAATCTCAATCTCTTCACCATCTATCATGATGCTGCCAGTTGGCTCAGTGGTCAGAATCTTTTATTTTCTTGATGTTGAGCTTCAATCCATATTGAAGGCTGCAGTTCATGACCTGCTACAGCAAATGCTTTAGGTCCTCCTCAGTTTCGGCAAGTAAGGTTGTGTCACCTGCATAATGCAAATTGTTGATGACGACAGATGGAAAAAAGATTGATGTTAAAGATTTCATCTCGCTTGGATATGCAATCAACACTCTTGGAACCAGCAGTCAGGAAATCAAAAGCCAAATTGCATTGGAAAAATCTGCTGTTGTGGACCTATCCAGAGTGCTTATAAACAACGATGTCAGTCTAGAGACTAAGGTATGCCTGATCCAGGCCATGATCTTCTCAAATGCTTGCTATGCATCTGAGATCTGGAAAATGAATAAAAGAAGAATCATCAATGTCTTTTGAGTTGTTGCACTGGAGAAAACAATTGAACATATCCCTGGACTGCTAAGAGAAACAAACAGGTCTGTCCTGGAGAGGTTGAAAGCAGGT